TCTAGACAGTCAACCCACAGAACCCCTTGAATGTCCCTAAATTGTCCCCAAGACCTTTGCTCTTGACAGGTGTACTTGGGCTCTACCTGGTCACGTCCACCATTCGGTGGCCAGCTGAGATGTCTGTGGTGTCGCTGGGATTCCTGCTGACTGAGATCAACACTCTTCAACAAGGGCACCCGAAGGATGAATTTCTTCCCTTGGAGTGGACATGGTGGCCCTCGCTGTGGGCCTCACCTTTATCCCTGTGTAAACTGCTAACAACTTGGAGCACCATCCCCACAAGCTTCTCATAAAGCGTCAGGGATCTCACCATTCTTCCACCTAAACTTCACCAAAAATTTAATGCTTGCTCTTTATCAACTTTAGCAGAATTCATGTTGCTCTGATGGGGACTCTTTTCAAAATGATGCCTCCAATGTTAGTGCCCCACACTAGATTCTGTTCAGAGTTCAGATCGGTTATAACAAGTTAGTACGAGTTTATTTTGGTACAAAAGAATTGAAATCCATGCATAGATTTATCATAATATGGATTTGCCGTGAACTTTTTGAAGGCCCCTCATGTATCCAGATGTGGAGCTGAGGAGGCTGGCAGGTCAGAAACACCAGTGTGCACAGAACGCAGCCTTGAGGAGGCTGCTTCCTCCAGCTCAGGAGCCAGGACGAGGGCCCATGTAGAGATGCTACTGTTACTTGCTCAGCTAATGCAAATTAAACCCACAAGGATCCATCACTGTCAGAATGGCTGGAATAAAAAATAGTGACAACACCCAGTGCTGGTGGGGGTGCAGAAAAGCTGGGTTGCCTGTGCGCTGACGGAGGGAGTGTCACGTGGTACCTTGGGCAAAGGGTTAAACAAACTAGTGATCCATGCTGTGGACAGGACCCAGCAATAAGAAAGAACTGCTGAATAGTAACCACCCAGATGGATCTCCAGAGAATTTACTGACTGAGAAAGCCATCCCCAAAGGTCCCATACGGTGTGATTTTGTCTTTGTAAAATTCTTGAAATGGAAGAATTGTACAAATGGGGAGTAGATCAGGGTTGAAGATAGGACAGGGGTAAGAGGAAAGGGATTGTGAGTGTGGAAAGGACCTGGTGGTGACAGGAACGTTCTGTATCTCAGCATGTCCACATCCATGTCCTGGTGATGTGGTACTTAAACTGTGTGCGAGACGTTCCCCATGGAGAGACTGTGAGAGGAAACCGGGGTCTCTATTCCGTCTCTCAACTGCATGTGAAACTGTAATTCTCTCAAACTAAAAAGTTCATTTGAAAACAGTCATGGCACCTCCGTGGAAGGTTCGAGTTTTAACTCCCTTGTAGAGGAGTCAGAATTTGAGCCTTAAGTCACAGAGATCTTCCAATAAAGTGAAGTGTGTTGGTTCCAGCTCTGCAGCCTAGAGGTGATGGCTCAGCAGCGTCTTGAAATGTATGGACAGGCTCGGCGCCTGTGGCTCAAGCAGCTAAGGCGCCGGCCACATACACCTAAGGTGGCGGGTTCGAATCCCCAGCCCGGGCCCACCAAACA